TAATGTTTCATCAAAGGAATGTTTTAAAAGAAGGTGTTGAAGAACAGTCAAAAGCTCTTTATACTTCGTAGAAATTCACATACCATTCCACTCACTGAAAAATCAATGTCCCTACGAGACTGTCACCCTGATTTGACATTATTCAGAACGATAGTAATGTTTTGATAAAGATGTTTGACGTAACAACCGCACGAACTAGCAATGGCACTAGAAAGTGGTCATTTTGCTGTGTAGATATCCACACAAAAGCATTTTTATTCATTCCATGGACGCCTACACAGACCTTGTTTTTCAATCTGTCTGTAGTTTGTGTTAATCAGTAGAATATTTTAATCAATACAGATATAAATATTATAAGTTTCAGTATGGTACATTGTTACAGCAATGACTTATGTTCGTTGTGTGTTTATCATACGTGATATTCAAGGACACTTAATGTCCGCGTTGTAGATCAAACATATGTATATGTATACATAAAAAATTGGCGTATTCCAGCCTGTTATAGTAAATCCGCATTGTTTCCGGTAAAACGGAGAATAGAAAATCCCATGTAGTTGAGCATAAAACTGGAAAATCTCATGTAGTTAAAGCATTACTACACCATGAACGAGTCTGATGTCGCAACATGACCTATTGTTGACAATGGCTCATGAAACGTATTACAATACTTACACATTAAGCTTCTTATGCAAATAAGATCGTTATATAGACATTTTAGCCGTACAGTTTAATGTGTTTTTATTACGATATTAGAGAAAAGTATGTTTGTTTTCAGAGTGAGGGTGAAGATCAAGCCGAGGTGTGTAACACAGATTTCTAATCGGGAAGCTTCAATTGCAATCGTTCCAAAATGCCGTGATTGTACCATTTAAGCAAGACGCATCACCTCAATTACTGTGGCTGAAAGATTAAGGTCCTCCCGTATGTTGTTAAGATAGATAGCCACCAGCTCCAATAAGTAAACACCATCTCCAAATCCACTACTTGTAATTGTTTTTCCTATCGCTTTGGTGATCATTTGGACAAAAAATAAAACAAAAAAGCAAATATATCAATAAAATAGAAAACATTTGTGTCCAAAGTCTAAGCCATACAAATGCCTTCATGTAGAGGTGAAAACGCTAAAAATATTGACACTAACAAAGTGTTTAAGCATTGTAAAACACACGTCGTGCGTGCGTTTTTTTGTTTGTTTTTTTCCGTTCCTCAGTCTCGATTCTTTTAACGTCATAATATTTATCATTTTTTACTGCTAACTTCCTAATTAGGTCTGATCATAGAAACACCTGTGTCCAATATGCGACTGTCCTCAACATTGAGTTATCACTATTTCTAGAGAAATTAAGGATGGATTTTCGCTCTGATTATAGACATGAAATGGTCGACAGGTGTCCCTGTGAGGTTATAATGCAGCCATAATCTCTATACTGTTTACCAGCTGCTCTTTGGTACGGCTTCATGACTCACCTCCGATTTTCGAAGGGTTAAATAATGTTCATGTAGAGAAAACATTAAACACTGTGATCACATTGTACAATTTATTCTGTAAAATATTCCACAAAATATCATTAAAATAAATCTAATGAATAGTACCTTGTCCGTATTGTTTTTCATTAATATGGAATCCTTTCATACAATTAGCTTGTTTCATTAGTTTATTTGATTGTTGATTTAGGTCTCGATTTTCCAATTTTACGAGCTTTTGTTGAGCTCAAATAAATCACAAATAAAATGGAAATGATTTAAAAATCACATGATAGACCATTTACACAAATATCGTAAACAATTAATAAAAATAAATGAATGTATAACAAGCATGCGTTTTATCATTTCCTTCTCTACATCTGATGTCGCAATATGCTCTATTACAGTTGTGTTACACGTTAAAATACTGAATAGGTATATAACTAGGCAAGCATGTGGTGTTACATTTATTATTTTGTAGCCGGTAGGACGAATTCACAAAAAAACGGATTAGGAAGGAAAATAACATCCGATGTTTGTGCCTCACTGAAGGTGTTACCTTCAGACATCAAATAATAACTTTTTCACTTTTAAGATGAAGTGTCTCACCGCTTAGTGCCGTACTTCAAGCAAAGAAGAGGTCGTTATTATTTCCAACCAATAATAACATTCAATGGTCCAGTCATATGTAAACATTAATCAAATGATTTGTTCATGAATTTAAAAGTTCACATCCCACAGGGGAAGTTATGACTTTCATGTCCGCTGTTATAATGTTTTTCATTTTCTAACAGGTATACTATATAGATATACCAGGTTCCAGGACAATAATGTTCATGGTGCAACAACACATCCGAACAGCAACCAAACGTCCAGAAGGAAAACAGTTTTACACTCTTACTTCAAATGTTTTAGCACATTGGTTCATGAGACGGTTTTCTCCGTGGTCATTGAGGACGTTAGAGCATGCTGTGTATCTTTACGTTGAAACATGTTATACTGCATGGCGTTTTGTATCTTTACGTTACAACATGTTATACAGCATGGCGTTTTGTATCTTTACGTTACAACATGTTATACTGCATGGCGTTTTGTATATTTACGTTAAAGCATGTTATATTGCATGGCGTTTTGTATCTTTACGTTAAAGCATGTTATACTGCATGGCGTCTTGTATCTTTACGTTACAACATGTTATACTTCATGGCGTTTTGTATCTTTACGTTAAAGCATGTTATACTGCATGGCGTTTTGTATCTTTACGTTACAACATGTTATACTGCATGGCGTTTTGTATCTTTACGTTAAAGCATGTTATATTGCATGGCGTTTTGTAGCTTTACGTTAGAGTATGTTATACTGCATGGCGTTTTGTATCTTTACGTTACAACATGTTATACTTCATGGCGTTTTGTATCTTTACGTTACAACATGTTATACAGCATGGCGTTTTGTATCTTTACGTTACAACATGTTATACTGCATGGCGTTTTGTATCTTTACGTTAGAGTATGTTATACTGCATGGCGTTTTGTATCTTTACGTTAGAGTATGTTATACTACATGATGTTTGTTATCCTTACGTTAGAATTCACACCATACTTTGTTACCGATGTTGAATGTAATTGTCAAAGTGAAAATGGAAATGGAGTGATACAATATTATTCATCATATAACACGGTTTGATAAAAGTATACAAAATACAATAATACAGATATAAAAATTTCACAATAAAAACGAAAAAGATGAAAAAATATATAATTTCTTTTTATATAGTATATACATACATATTGGCAAAATGAACAAGCAAGGTTCCAGGTAAATAATTTTACTATCTGCTAGTACATCATTCAAAAACATAACACAACATTAAATAGCATCTGATCAAGTTACAATTAACACTAAAAATCTACTCTGAGACATCTCAGTTCAATTTTTTAAAAATATTTTGCAAAATACAGGAATAACGAAATCAGATGCATATCATCCATTCTATACTCATTGTAACTGTAAGGTGATATCATTAATAATATACCCACTGTCCCTGTAAGTCGATATCATTAATTATATACTCACTGTCCCGGTAAGGTGGTATAATTAATTCTATACTCAATGTCCCTGCAAGGTTGATATCATTAATTCTATACTCACTGTCCCTGTAAGGTCATATAATTAATTCTATACTCACTGTCCCTGTAAGGTGGTATAATTAATTCTGTACTCACTGTCCCTGTAAGGTGATGTCATTAATTCTATACTCACTGTCCCTGTAAGGTGATATCATTAATTCTAGACTCACTGTCCAGGTAAGGTGGTATCATTAATTATATACTCACTGTCCCTGTAAGGTGGTATAATTAATTCTGTACTCACTGTCCCTGTAAGGTGATATCATTAATTCTATACTCACTGTCCCTGTAAGGTGATATCATTAATTATATACTCACTGTCCAGGTAAGGTGGTATCATTAATTCTATACTCAATGTCCCTGTAAGGTGGTATCATTAATTCTAGACTCACTGTCCAGGTAAGGTGGTATCATTAATTATATACTCACTGTCCCTGTAAGGTGGTATCATTAATTCTGTACTCACTGTCCCTGTAAGGTGATATCATTAATTCTATACTCACTGTCCCTGTAAGGTGATATCATTAATTCTATACTCACTGTCCCTGTAAGGTGATATCATTAATTCTATACTCACTGTCCCTGTAAGGTGGTATAATTAATTCTGTACTCACTGTCCCTGTAAGGTGATGTCATTAATTCTATACTCACTGTCCCTGTAAGGTGATATAATTAATTCTAGACTCACTGTCCCTGTAAGGCGATTCTGCTGAAAATAACAGTAGAATCAGAAAGGACACTCCATTATGCATAATTCGAGGAGTTATTCCCAAAAAGTTTCAAAAAGAATCAGTTACAACAAGTAAACTAAAACAATTTTATGGAATACATTGTAAGATTTAAAACTTTTGGTACATATATTTTTTATATTGGTGTCCAGTTGAGAATATTTTTGGACCGTATTTACGTACGTATCACTCACTGACAATACAAAAGTAAAACTGGCACATTCATTTTAAACTTTGATTGTGATTAAATCAAATTTAATTAACCTCAAAACATTGATACAATATGCAAAACAACAACAAAAATTGTATGTCAAAATCATTATTGGAATTGTTATCTGGGTGAGACCGATCTTGAAATTTTGATTAGGTACACAATTGTTTGGGATCCTAGCGAATTATCTGAGGATTTTATGTTGTTTGTAATGAATGTATGCATATTTCTACATGTATAAACAAGACAATACCAATATAATTTCCATTCATGTGTTTTTACGATAAATCTATCTTATTTACAATACTACCCACATGTCTGACTTAAATGCGAAATAGATACAGATGTTACAGATAACATACCTTTTTCAGTATTTTCTTGTGTTTCTCAGAGTTGTAAAAGCAATACGAAAATACAAAAACTCATTCTACTAAAACATTACATTTTGTAGCTAATTTCAGACCCGCATTTTGCTGACATTAAACATGTCATACAGTAATAATATTCATGGCTAGATACACCAACGTTCTATTTAATGGACCAGAATGGCTGAATGGTTAAGGCAAGATTGTCTTTACCAATTGTCCTCTACTCCTGGGTCGCGGGATCGAGACCTACGTGGAACAGTCGTCAGGTACCAGGTACTTCGGGAACTTCGACTTTCCGCCAGCTTCCCCAAACCTGGCACGTCCTTAAATGACACTGGCTGTTAATAGACGTAAAACAACAATAGCAATGTATGCGCGCGCACACACACACACAAATACATTTATTAATGAACGTCGATCTGAATGTTTGTTGAAGAACACGACCTGACTTTTGTAAAGCACGGTAAACTGTAACACCAACTTTTGTCTTTTATCGTAGGCTCAAGTTAATAAAATGATGTCTTAATCACGTTTGAAATTATTGGTTTTGCATTATAATACATATACATGATAATGATGGGCAACATTAGAGGAACAATTATGTTAATGACATGCCAATCACGTGACTAGCCTATTTGCTTTCCACATTCGTTTAGTGTTGTTTCGATATTGCTATTAGCGATCAATATACTGTACAGGCGTTTATTTGAAACAGAAAGGAAATACTTCAGGAATTAAAACCATGTTAGAAAATAAAGGGAAATGGAAACCTTTTAAAACTGTCTCCTTTCACAGCACCAATGAATGATCATGGCAATGATTAAAACGGGAAAAAATGTAAAGACTTTTTTAAAAATCATGTCACTTACTCATTTGCTCAAGTCTTTGATGCCGCGTCTTGTCATACTTGGATCACTTGTGAAAGTCTGCCCAAGCTTCCTTCGTATCCATTGCCGGTAGTGTAGATTTCCTTTGAAATATCGTCGTCATTATCTCCACTGGATTCTTCAGTATCGCTCCGTACGTCTTTCATCTGAAAACTCAAACACCCGTTACCGTTAGAACAGTATACAAACCCGTAATTTCCATTCCACGGAGTTGATATCACTAGTCTTACATATGATTTTAATTTCGCATCTCCCCATCTGGTCAATGATATCAATTTCAGCAAATTTTCATTTTTCTTAGTCTCCAACAAGGTGACACTGGTGTAAAGTAGGAGGACGAGACAGCCGTATGGTAAAATCTAATTCATTATTTGACAATTCGCAATTTGTATTAAAAATATTCGACTGTGTGTCTTTTGTTCAGGCTATTAACTCAATAATAACTCTAAAAAGGATCGATTTCTGGATTGCTTGAGTGCTGACTCACCTTTTTGTCCCCAGTAAACTTAGAGATGATGATGCCGACTAGCATAACAGTCCATAAGATATGTAGTACTTGTAGTACCCACAGTAGACCGTTTAGGAGCCAGTAAACAGGGTAACGTGTGGCATTATCTATATACTGTTGTGATGTAAAAGTGGCAGACCATACTATTCTGTAACATAAGTCATCATGACGAACAATCTGTATTTAAAACATTTATTCACGAAAAAAGCGTTTAATTTCTGTAAATATACTTAATCAGGCGCATTCAAATTTTAGTGTAACATTTCTTTTGGGTAAATTAGCGCAATGATGTATTGTGGCGTCCACATTAATTGTGACATATTCTCTACAATCTTTATAAATGAATTTCTCCACTTCAACTTATCTCTGTTGATAAACTTGATATTCTCAATCTTCTTTTTATTTAAAATACACGATATTTACCGATTTACTACTGTTTTTCCTGTAAACACAATGTTTGCTTTGTGTTTTTATCTGGATGTGAAGACAATTGACATTCATGTAAAATGATTGAAAAGTACAAATACTTAACTACTCACATAAATGGATAAACATACAGCTTGGAAAATACCCAGAGTATGAAAAACAAGACGAATAAAACTTCCGCTAATTGTTGTTTCTTTAAATAGTTGACACTCTTAGAAGCCTGAAATTAGAGACATTTGACATTGTTCACAGACCCACTAACATGTAATAGTTGGGGATTGTATTTTAGATAATTTAACTCGGTAACAATTGTTGACCTAGCATTGTCTATTTAAGGAATCGAACTGTACGGAATGTTATAAGTAAACTAAGCCCGGCGAGGCGAGGATGTAAATGATATCCACTTGCACAAAAGAAGAAAACGTTGATAGTCTTAATCATGTGAATTCTTCGTTTCCATAAAATGGAAGTCTGACGAGGAAAATATCAGCGCATGCTAGATGGATTTGTACAAATATTGCAGTTACCAGATGTTCGCTTTCGTCTTCATTTTTATAATATACTCTTTCTCTATATACTGATTGTATATGCTATTTTCCTTTTACGATGATTTTGTACAATATTTCTGTAAGAAAGGATTAATATTTTATATGATACGCTGTTTCTGTATGAAATTATTAACATTTTGTATGATACGCTGTTTCTGTATGAAATTATTAACATTTTGTATGATACGCTGTTTCTGTATGAAATTATTAACATTTTGTATGATACGCTGTTTCTGTATGAAATTATTAATATTTTGTATGATACGCTGTTTCTGTATGAAATTATTAACATTTTGTATGATACGCTGTTTCTGTATGAAATTATTAAAATTTGGTATGATACACTGTTTCTGTAAGAAATGATTAATATTTTATATGATACGCTGTTTCTGTATGAAATTATTAATAATTTGTATGATACACTGTTTCTGTATGAAATTATTAAAATTTGGTATGATACACTGTTTCTGTTTGAAATGACTAATATTTGGTATGATACGCTGTTTCTGTATGAAATGACTCAGTATTTTGTAAGTTTCTCTATTAAATGATTCTGTATTATAAGCTGTTTCTGTAAGAAGTGATTTGTAATGATAAATTCGCCCAATGTTTTCAGCTTTACTACGTATCCATCACCTCTCAGTTTATATGTAATGATGGAAATTCTGTTTGAAGTAGAATCCTATTAATTTTAAAATAATTAAACTAAAAATCATTTTTAATAACAAAATATGTATTTTACTTTTAAAGATATTTCTAATTGACAGTATGTAAACCATAAAAAACTATTGGAAATCATCGTTATAACATACATACAGACATCATGATATCGTTGGAGTCGTGTAATAGCAGCACTAGTGCTCCAATTCGAGTCTGGTTACACATGAAGGAGAAATATATCAACAGAATGGTGACAAAATGATGGATGACCATTTCAGGAAAATCCGTTCTTTTGGTGTCAGTCATCAGAGTGACCAGACAATGCCAGTAGAACCCCATCTCTATGGTGTAGTACCAGTAAATATCATTGGTAACATGCTGAAATAAAATGAATATGAAATTATATTATAATGGATTATGTTTAGGTAAATGATGAAACATGTTTAATACAAACAATTGATACAAGACAGTATACGAATGACATAAAAGTTAACTCAGGACACCCCATTTGTTATTTATATTTACATATTTTATCCTATTGTTATAAATAAATATATATATATAGATTTTCCGTAACTGCCATGCCACGTATTAATTTAGTGCCGCAGTTCATGTTAAACACACGTACTTCACGCTCTCCTTGTATGATCAAATACTTCAAAATTACGAAATTTATTGAATCATAGCGCTTGTACATCCTCGCATCTCGATCTGAACTTTTTTTTATTCGAGCACTTCCCCACTCGCCTTCTTGGCTTCAAAATTTAGACCCTCACATCACCAGAGTCCTAGAACGAAGAGACAACTGTATGATGTAGTTGAATTCATTGTTTGGATGATTCTACTGTATTTAACTCTAGATTAGTAATAAAAAGTCTTATTCACTGATGTGTCTTTTATACAATGTATCATTTTTAAACAGAGTATGTGTTACTATTACATATGATCTCCGCTTCATTCCTTAACAATGAGAAAGTATTGATAGCTAACTCACATGTCTACCGTTGTTAATCCAGCAGTGCTTCAAATCCCAGAAGTATTTTTTCTAAAAGTCAAAAAAAAGTTTTAAAAGATTTGATTTCAGTAATGACAATATAATACATTTCACAACATTCCTTCTAAATCCTACCACAGCATTTCCATAACTGACATATATTGAACGTTTCGACCACTCCTTCAGATAAGGAACTTGTAACATATTTGTTTCGTCACGCCATATATGATCAAAGGAACACAAACTCATCCTCGTGGATTAATATAGCTTAATAGGTCTACTTACAATAATTTTAACAATATGTTAACATATAAATACGAGTTCTCACGAAAACAACGAAAATATATCCACCGCATATATTTATGATTTCACAGTATAATTTTTTCCATATCAATCTTTTTTGATAAGACCAACTGTAGGTAACATAGGACGAAGAAAAAAAAGCAATCACGACTGTTGTGGTTAACCCTCTTATACAACATTACAGAGAAACTCTGATGCAATCGAAAGTCGCCTTGTAATATCATTATTTTAAGACTTCATGATGTCACTGACGTTAAATAGGATTGTCACACCCACCAAAGAGTTATTTCATACTCTATTTCAAGATATTGCGCTAAAATATTAGATAAATTGACCGTTTTTGTACATATGTTAGTACTTACGTCCCAGAGAATGTACAAAGCACAACAGAAGCTGACTGTGTAGAACACGAAGTACCAGCTGAAAGTCAAAACGGTCAGATACAAGGCTAGAAATACACAACAAAATTCATTTTGACTGCTACGATATGGCTGGAGTTTGTATAGGCTGGAAATACGAGTGATGGAAACTTGATAAATATTCTGAAAAGTGGGCTACGACATCAATATACTATTTTAGTTTGAATGCATGATTTTTCTTGGAGTTTCATTTTCGTTGAAGTCTTTCTTAGGAATACCTCATGACAACACAAATACGAAAAAGGCAGATTTTCGAAGAGAGACCAGGAAAACATCAATCTTTTCAAGAAAGGACTTAAAGAAATGATAAAGTATTAAAATGTCACAGAAGGAAAACACATAAAAAAGTATCAACATCAACAATCAAAATTTACCAAAAACAATGCCAGTTTTAAAGATTCTTTTGTCATAAATCCATATTTGGTTATTTATGTAATAGATTTGATATCTGGGAGATAGAACCGAAAGCTGATTACTGTTTGGCATGATTCAATGTCCCTTAATGTTATCTCACTTGAGAAAGTATTCGCCTTATTCTAAAAAATGTCAAATAAGTATTGTCAATATGAGTTGTATTTATACCCTGTTTCCCTGAACTTTTTCATCCTGCCAGGACTGTCTTTGTTGCGTCGGTGACGAAACCACCTCTGTATCTGTCGCTCTGTAAGACTTGTTTTCTTTGTTAAATCCTGTGATTACAAAAGAAAATCTTTGAAAATATCCAGCAACGTGCCGTATCAATTTAGGACTCACACATCTAAATCAGTCGAAGAACGACGGGGATAGTGTTTCCTCTACATAGAATCTCTACATTAATTGAGATTTGGTAAAATATTGGCCCCTGGCAGTTATTGGCTTCATAAAGATGTATAGTTTTAACACATTTCAATGTATGTGGAGTGGATTTAGACAGGTGTAAAATATCTTGGTTTTTTCCTAAGTGGGTGGTACGTTTCACCTGTAAACTTCCGGTTGTTAAATTCTGAAGGCAATGGGAGTCCGAGATGTCATTTAACCTACTAATTTATGCCATTTGTAGCCCTTGACAGGCATGTTTCTATGAATCCAGACAGTTGTTACTTGTGTTGATAATCTATAGTGATTGATTTAGTTGCGGAAGTCCTTTAACAATTATTGTTATGTTACAGAAATTAAGGATAACGAGAGCGTGGCTTTATCAAAGGGATAGACACAACATCAGGGCAAATTTAATCTCGTGAAGTTATCAATGTGAAATATATGTATGAAATATCGATGAAAATGTGAAAGGAAAAAACAAGAAACAGAAACAGACCTCCCTCATTTAAAATAAGTAAGTACGGGAATCTAGTCGTTTACGATTCTCAAAATCGATGGGAAAATGTTGAAAAACTCGATAAATCTAAAATACAAACATTGATGTGGAATAATTTATCTGAAATATGTCAAACTTTGTGAATTATTGCGAAAGTTAATGCATCGCTGATATGTGACCTATTTCAAGATGCCAGTATGTTTTAGGCTAAACGTACTCAGTACGTACAGCCTATTGTGATGGCCTTTCAGAACAAAATTTACCGATCCTGGCCTTCTCATTGGCTGAAATATCGAAAAGAGTTAGAGCGCTCTAGCGGCAATTTTCTGCGTAAATAATGCCGTTGTCAAATCGCTATTTTAAAAGCATCCAAAATTAGCTTATTTTTTAGTAACAATATGATTACTATATATTTCAAAAAAGAAGCACAGTGTGGTTGAACTATTGATAAATTTTGAACAATATATTTTACGGAATTCTCGACATGACGTAAGCGTACAGAACACCGCACGTGCGAGTTGATAAAAAGCTAGTCTGGGGGCTTGGTTTGAATTATCAAATAACAACACTTATAAACAAACAAAATTTACAAACAGAACATCAATTTTGTTTTAATCCTTGTCGTTGTGGCAAGATCGTCTTAATATACAACATCACTTTACCTCATTAGACGTCACCAATTTGGACTGTTCGTCCCACGCGCACACCCGCCGATATGACACTTTTTCAGGTTTTTCACACCCACCGGCATGACACTTTTTCAAGTTTTTGAAGATAAAAAGTTTGCGCTTCGTAGGCAAGGTACATTTGGTGCTCATGATTTATGTATAATATATTTTTAATACTGTACTGATTATGATGTTGACTCTGTTATTACTTATATTTTTTGTCTTTTAGTTTTATTTGATGAAGGTTGTTTGTGCTGATTTCTCAAGGTTTGTTAATGTGTATCAAAGTTCCTTGAAATAAAAATATTCCTTCAAACAAAGCGCGTATAAAAAAACCCAAAATATTCATGTTTATAATTATCAATTAACTAGAACGAAATATTTCCATAACATATTTATTCATTTAGCGTGTCATGGTGACATTATCTAATGCATTGGAGATCAGAAATAGTAGTAGTTATATTGAAAATATTGTAAATTTTGTATATATATGGAAGTCTGGTTTAATCTCAAAGAACTATGTCTTTATAGACATAATTACTGGAAGAAAAGTCTAACCATGATACTTCAAGGAAGATAGGCATGTAAATACATTTAATGTAATTACTTACACTTTTATCTATCTGAAATGCTGTGTACACCTTATCTACTTTCCTCAACTACAAATATTATTATAATAAGTAAGGACTATTACTTTGCAATACATTCAAAATAAAGAAGTAGGTATAAAGTCCTTTCGATTTGTCTAAATCCTCATATTGATAGGATAGTAATTGCAACATCTGGGGTATTTCAAAGGTTTTATTTAGTCAACTTCATCATAGAGCTTTTTATCATTTGGCTTGTTGGCGATATATATATGGTTGTGTGTATTTTGTTATTTTTTTTTACCTATTTTGATTTGTTCACACTATTGTCGTCAAATTTGAAATAAGAATTAAAGAAGATATAAAATCGCTTAAAATTAAGAAAATAGCCTCTGGTTCTCTTATTTTAGTAATTTTTGCATTCCAAAGTGTAGGAGTATGGGGAAAGTAATATAGTTTTGCGGTTATTTGTGAACATTTTTCAATACGTTTAGCCTTTCAGTACTTTCAGTACTTTGATTATCTTGTAGATGACATTCAAATTGACAATGAGCAAACCGAACAGGCACGTTTTATCAAACATTTATCAATATATTGTTGTTATAAGAAGACAGCAACAGTATGATGTTTTAAAGACATTCAATAGTTAACACCCTACAGCTGTAGCTATTGATAAGGAGAGGTCATTTTATTGGTACATTCGTCCTTAGCAACCCACTCTTTATGAAACTTCAGAAAGGATGTTTCGTGTGTCTGTCATACAATTACAAGTATATCTGAGCACACACATGCTATTTTCTCTGGAGTTGTAGGACTGTTTTTCCTCTACTAGGTAATTAGGTCGATTCACGGTGTAAATACCCCAGGCATATATACATCAAGACAAACCCTATCAGTTAACTGTATCTCCCGTTGACACCACATATCACTTGTATATAATGGGTGGTGTATATAAAATGCCTCTTAATATGAAATCTATTTCCTGTTATTGGTTTGAAGAAACAAGGGATGTTTTCATTATCTATATTACACATGGCTATTTATTTCGTGATTAAAGCTGAACACACCGAGGGTAAAAACTTGTTTTTTGATCTCACAATCTTATTCTAATATTTTATTTTCAGCGAATAATTTATTATTTTCAATCCTTACTTTCTTCCTAACTGAAGACCAACAAAAAGATAATTTTATATGTACAAGTGAAGAACTCGGAGAAAACAAAATTTAAAAAATGGTAAATTTGCATGTAGTAGTCCTATCAGTTTATGTGTATAGTTTATTTACAGTTTAATTCATTGTTTAATTCCACTGTATCTAACTCTAAATTATCAAAATGTGATATTCACTTGTGTGTCTGTAAATCTGTGAATATATATATATATGATACTGGACATTGTAACACAATTGACAAGAAAGGCCAATGTTGACTCGTATCTTAGTGTGAATCCAGATGGACCGTGATTAGTAAGGCTGAACGTTTCACCCCAACGGCTGAAAGATGAGCTGTGATTTGTTGGATTCACCCTGGACCGTAGATTTGAGATCCGTAAATGGTTATTACCAAAAGTGTGACCCCAAATAGTAGAACAATGATCATAGAATGGTATAGACAGAATTGTGTCATAGAATGTAGGCTCGTTGTTGATAAGCTGAAAGGTAGATTTCATCGTTGGATTTGATAATTGCCTGTAGATTGTATTCCTTAAGTCTTTGTGACACTGAGCCTAATTGTTTAAGTCGTTTGCAGATCGAAAAAAAATCGAATAATGGAAGAAATATTTCAGAAAAAACGTGATCAGTTATCACGCGGATGCTACAACAAGTTGTTCCCATAATGAAGCATATTTTAAAAGATAATTGATATATTTCGCCTGTTTGTAAATCTATTGCAATTACAGGTAGGGTCAGACTATCCTGTGATCTGGGTCATATTACTGTAACCATGACGACACAGCTTACTACTGTCATGCTTCTATTCCAATATTTTTATTGTCAATCGATCCATTCAGTATTTTTCAATATTGAACGTTGTATAGTTATACTGTAACTAACTTTATCAATAATTTAAGTGATAATTTGTGTTCACCAGAGCAGAATGTCTGGATTCCCTTTGGCAAAGTGATTTTAAGTGATTTTAAGAAGCTAACGTAGGGTAGCCATGTTCTTAAAGGATATAAAAATCCTAAAGGTACTGTATTCATTAGGCTTTCATGAATAATTCAATATCTATTTTCTTTAGATGTATAAATAATTTCAATATAAATCACAACCACTGATCTGTTCCTATCAACCAAAGGACATTTGTATTTACCATGGTAGACAGCATATATCCAAACATCGATGTTTTATAGCTTGTGTAAATCTCTCCAGTCCATGCTGATGTAGTTATGATTAAAAGCTGGATAATGGAGACGAGGTGAAAGAAATAAAACCTATAACTATTGAACCGGTAATGATGACGATCATTATAGAATTTCTATATTTTCAGCGACACTCTCCTAGTAGATTTCCCTGATGGAGTATGGACAACAGCGTAACATACAAAATATAATTCCCAAAACGTTCCGTTACATTGTCGTTGAAGTGTGACTCGGAAATTATACTTAGCATTGTCCCACAGATATCGCTGTAACCCCTAGAAACTTGAGACACGTTCTTTTCTTGAGGGGGAGTATGTAACCATCCTCTTAAGCTCGGTTGGTTGAGCTTCAGACTTAAAAAAGAGGCACATGATTCAAATGCAGTCCTTCTAGGACTCGTCAGTGATGCTACATCATGCTGTTGTTTCGTCCTTCTAGGACTCGTCAGTGACGCTACATCATGCTGTTGTTTCGTCCTTCTAGGACTCGTCAGTGACGCTACATCATGCTGTTGTTTCGTCCTTCTAGGACTCGTCATGATGCTACATCATGCTGTTGTTTCGTCCTTCTAGGACTCGTCAGTGACGCTACATCTTGCTGTTGTTTCGTCCTTCTAGGACTCGTCATGATGCTACATCATGCTGTTGTTTCGTCCTTCTAGGACCCGTCAGTTTGAAGCCAAGGGGGCGACTGAGGAAAATCCAAAGTGATCGAAAAAAAGTCAAAATCTAGACGGGGAGGTGCAGCAGCCCCATGGTTAAATAAATTTCGTAATGTTTATATATCAGATAATTTTAGAACAGTGTCAAGTACAAATATTCTGAACGGGGCCACTCTTTGTGGCATGCAGGTTACGACAAACCTCGGGAACTGTAAGTCCACAAGCAGAGTCTGCCATCTGCTGTCTTACAGATTGTACAATATCACACAATGGAATAGCACCTCTCAATAATTCAGAGTTAGTTAGAGTAATTTTGTTGATTCTAAGGTTTCAGATTTGAATTACCTTTCATAACTGTAATCGAGTTTGATGATAGTTATATAGTATATCTATATGTAATGGAGAAGGATGGCACAGCTTTGGCCGATCTTTTTGTAAGGAAATTCCATCAATAAGATAATGGTAGAATTAGTAAATCCAATGTGTAGAATTTCCATAACACACCATATATACTGTTACTGTTAACTACTACAAACCTGTATCGTCAATCTTTCATCAGTCCTTCCAACATATCTATACATTATTTCATTTCAAGACCTCGTAAAAGGTCATGGCCAACCACTTTTAGATGGAAGTTCCTAAACAGGTCAGAGATAATATATACATGACCCCGATTACCTCTATATGTTTCCTTTCGCTGTATTTGTCAACCTCATAGGCAGCCTCCAGAGTAGGGTTCTTCACTGCCGAGCATTTCTTCTTCATGGTGAGACCCATGTATTTCGCAAATGGAATCAACAGAAACCTAATTAACAAAGCAAAGTGCTGAATGTCAGGCGAACGAAAAGAAACTCAGGGATATCATCATTAATCTGTGAACAACAAATATTTGAATGGTAATTTTAAAACTTCATTGACATTAGATAACACTTAAATGGCCTTTCGCGCCATTTACCTATGTTAATTCAGATTACAGTCTAATAATCAGGCGTGGTTATACAGTGTAGTAACTCATATGACGTATTTTTTATCAGATAATCGTAATCGTAAAGAGTTGCGTAGTTATAATAAAATTATGAAGGGTTAATTTCTAAGTTAATCAGAACAATTGGTCACTAATTGTAGAACGACTTTTCTCTGTCTTACTATGTAATTACACCGATGATGCACGTTTCTGTCGTAAATCGAATATCTATAGTGTGATGGACAAAGAATATAAAAATATACTGATGTCACATGACTTTACATTCTATCATGTGTACTTTTCATTCTGTCACGTGTACTCTACACTCTGATACGTGTACTCTACACTCTGTCACGTGACTCTACACTCTGTCATGTGTATTCTACTCTCTGTAGTGTGACTCTTCACTCTGTCACGTGTACTCTACACTCTGTCACGTGACTCTACACTCTGTCACGTGACTCTACACTCTGTCATGTGTATTCTACTATCTGTAGTGTGACTCTTCACTCTGTCACGTGTACTCTACACTCTGTCACGTGACTCTACACTCTGTCACGTGACTCTACACTCTGTCATGTGTATTCTACTCTCTGTAGTGTGACTCTTCACTCTGTCACGTGTACTCTACACTCTGTCACGTGACTCTACACTCTGTCACATGACTCTACACTCTGTCACGTGACTCTACACTCTGTCATGTGTATTCTACTCTCTGTAGTGTGACTCTTCACTCTGTCACGTGTACTCTACACTCTGTCACGTGAATACACTCTGTCGTTTATTATTGTCGATACGACTCTCTGCCTATCATAACTTTAAGTAGTTGTTAATTTTTAAATTTTTAAGTGATATGAAAACTTGTCAGGGCTTGTCATGGTGTGAACCTTCCTATGTTGTGATATATTGTATAACAGAAAGAGAGTGATTGGGACAAATACATGAGCGAGGGGCGTTATTCTAATTAAAAGTAAAAAATACAATAGTGTGTTGTAAGAGAATAAAAGGGATTTATCTCTTTGTCAATCTTGATTCAATTAATTAATTACAGTTGATTAACATACAGTGAGTAACATAAATGTCGACATGTCCTCATCAGAGATCATTTCTGAGATTTAATCAGCAACGTGGAAATAGATTGCTTAATTTATGATGTAGATATGCTTATAAATTGTAGCAGTAATACGTTGATGTTCATCACTTATAAATTAAAATGTTAACAAATACAACCATTGTATTAGGATGTCCTTCACCTCTTCAGCGTACTCTCACGTGCTTTTTACATCATGGTGCATACTCGGAAGTAGTTTATTTTATTCAAGCTCCACTTACCGGTCATACACAAGTCTGATACCCAGTATAATGACTCCTATGGCCACACTAGGGAGGAGAATGTGTCTCTCTAGAGGATAATATACTCCTGGAGGGGGGTTCTCGAACTCCTCCCATGTAATATGGACGAGCCAGTATTTAGGATTCCAAAACCACTTTCGAATGTCCTGTATGATCGTCATTACCACTGAACTGACTGTTTAGGCCATTGACAAACGAACTTGTGGAAATCAGCCATGTATGTCGATATGTGCGCAGCTCAAAATATGGAAGGTTATAGCTGCCTTGTATCATTCGTATTTGTAGGTGCTTTTTTTTTTTTTTTTTTTAAATTATGTATGTATTTGGTTAATGTCAATATGAAACATGATTTTATCGTTATCATTAGGTTTCATCATTATTATAAGATTTCATCATTAAGTCACGTGAGTATATTAGTGATAATTTTTTTTTTTAAATTTACTATAAAATAACGTGAATCGGTAGGATATATAGTATATCGAACTTTATTTTCTTAAAATCAAAGTGTTGTTGTGATACTTGATTTAAACATGACAACCATGCCGTATATAACTATCAAGCATCTAGATAACACGACCGCAGTCGGTAGTTACAATCGGACACATCGTCCCAAACACAAACACGTGACCAGCGGTATATCATCACCCCACATACATCTATGTACTGTTACTGCTCGATCATACTGACCTTCCATACTAAAATGTTTCCTAGAGCTACACCAACATACTGACAAACCAGAATACAGTCCTTGTGATAGGCCGTCTTTATAATTTATCTGCTACAGACGGCGTATCACAAGGACTTGCCTGACTGATTCGATCAATTTTTAAACAATACATTACTTAGACTAGAAACCCCGTTCAGGCTTCAGTGGTTACAGGTTCGAGTCGTACAAAATATTACTTCCGCTATATACTTCACATCAAAATAGATTCAAACGAAACCGAAATTAGCTGGAATGGACTTTAACAAGAGCATCCAACATTTATTATGTGTAAACTGATACATAGATTCAGATTCCGCAATTGTTTATACATAAGTAACACATGTATATAAACATACAATATATAAAGACTACAATGTATATAGACTACAATGTATATATACCTATGTATATAGACCTACAATGTATATAGACTACAATGTATATAGACTACAATGTATATAAACATACAATATATAAAGACTACAATGTATATAGACCTACATTGTATATAGACCTGCAATGAATATACACTACAATGTATATAGACCTACAATGTATATAGACCTACAATGTATATAGGCGTACAATGTATATATACCTACAATGTATATAGACCTGCATTGTATATAGACCTACATTGTATATAGACCCAAAATGTATGTATACCTATGTATATAGACCTGCAATGTATATACACTACAATGTATATAGACCTACAATGTATATAGACCTACAATGTATATAGACGTACAATGTATATATACCTACAATGTATATAGACCTACAATGTATATATACCTACATTGTATATAGACCCAAAATGTATATATACCTATGTATATAGACCTGCAATGTATATAGGCTTACAATGTATATAGACCTACATTGTATATAGACCTGCAATGTATATACACTAAAATGTTTATAGACCTACATTGTATATAGACCTGCAATGTATATACACTACAAAGTATATAGACCTACATTGTATATAGACCTGCGATGTATATAGACTACAATGTATATAAACCTACAATGTATATATACCTGCATTGTATATAGACCCACAATGTATATATTCCTATGTATATAGACCTGCAATGTATATAGACCTACAATGTATATAGACTACAATGTATAAAGACCTACATTGTATATAGACCTGCAATGTATATACACTACAATGTATATAGACCTACATTGTATTTAGACCTGTAATGTATATAGACCTGCAATGTATATAGACTACAATGTATATAGACTACAATGTATATAGACCTACAATGCATATAGACTACAACGTATATATACCTACATTGTATATAGACCCACAATGTATATAGACTACAATGTATATAGACTAAAATGTATATAGGCTTACAATGTATATAGACCTACATTGTATATAGACCTACAATGTATATAGACTACAATGTATATAGACCTACAATGTATATAGACCCACAATGTATATATACCTATGTATATAGACCTACATTGCATATATACCTATGTATATAGACCTACAATGTATATAGACCTACAATGTATATAGACCTACATTGTATATAGACTACAATGTATATAGACTACAATGTATATAGACCTACAATGTATATAGACCTACAATGTATATAGACGTACAATGTATATAGACCTACAATGTATATAGACCTACAATGTATATAGACCTACAATGTATATATACCTATGTATATAGACCTACAATGTATATATACCTATGTATATAGACCTACATTGTATATATACCTATGTATATAGACCTACAATGTATATAGACCTACAATGTCTATAGACTATAATGTATATAGACCTACAATGTATATAGACCTACAATGTATATAGACTACAATGTATATAGACCTACAATGTATATAGACCTATAGACCTACAATGTATATAGGCGTACAATGTATATAGACGTACAATGTATATAGACGTACAATGTATATAGACCTACAATGTATATAGACTACAATGTATATAGACCTACAATGTATATATACCTATGTATATAGACCTACAATGTATATATACTTATGTATATAGACCTACATTGTATATATACCTATGTATATAGACCTACAATGTATATAGACCTACAATGTATATAGACCTACATTGTATATAGACCTACAGTGTATGTAGACCTACAATGTATATAGACTACAATGTATATAGACTACAATGTTTATAGACCTACAATGTATATAGACTACAATGTATATAGACCTACAATGTCTATAGACTATAATGTATATAGACCTACAATGTATATAGACCTACAATGTATATATACCTATGTATATAGACCTACAATGTATATAGACTACAATATATATATACCTACAATGTATATAGACCTACATTGTATATAGACCTACAATGTATATAGACTACAATGTATATAGACCCACAATGTATATATACCTATGTATATAGACCTACAATGTATATAGACTACAATGTATATGGACCTGCATTGTATATAGACTTCAATGTATATATAACAACAATGTATATAGACCTACACTGTATGTAGACATACAATGTATATAGACTACAATGTATATAGCTAATGAGCCAAACAAGATGCAAAACCTTTAAACTTTATAAAGCAACGTCACATAGAGCCTTAAACAGCTTAAAGCTCTACGTGTTAGATTTCTAACATATTTAAGTATAAGTTCACAATTCAGAATCCCAACTCCTGTGGATAGGCAGTTGAACAAATATTCGAAAATACTAAAATCTTTATATATGTAATACTCGCTTCAGAACAGGAAATTGTGCTGTACTGGTCTCGCCACTGTCCGTGGCTAGAATGTCTAATATCATACCTGTATTTAAGCTCTCCCCTGCCCTTGCACGTGCAGACAAAGAGTCAAGCTCTTTCACAGAAATACACGAATGACATGCCATAGATAATTATTTTCAGTTATTTCCTGAAATATAGAATATAAAAACATCTGCATTATGGCCCTGATAAGCCTCCATATATCACACTTTATAGGGGCGTTCTCTCACGTTTAAGTATTTTCACTTTACAGCTTCAGACAGGTATAATATCAAAATAGAGATTGATTCTTTTTCAAGAATTAATTGTTTTATTTATTTAAAAAATGAACATCATTGTGAACTTGTAGAATGTTTCACCTAAAATCATTTATTTTCTCATCCACAGAGGCCCCTACTTCACAGCCGAGTCGGTCCTAGGGATTCGAGACATTTTTCGAATTGATCTGTCGATTGTATGAGACACGACCAGAAATTTAACCTTCTCCTGTAACACGTGATACAGTGGAAGGTAAGTTTACATACTCAATCTTTGGTATGTAAACAGGCGAGTCTTAATAAATGTCCCTTTTGTTATTCATCTAAAGGAAAAATATCCACTATTTATTTCCTTAGTTGTCGCTCTTTCCCTCTCTGTCTGTGTCTGTCTGTCTCTGTATCTGTGAAGTTCTTCTCTCTGTCCGCCCGTATGTCTCTGTCTGTGTCTGTCTGTCTCTCTATCTGTGAAGTTCTTTTTTCTGTCCGCCCGTATGTCTCTGTCTTTCAGTATGTGTTTGTCTCACATTCCAACTCTTTCTCCGAATTATGTATCTCTATACGCCTGTGTCTTTTTGTGTCTCGAACTGTCTGTCTATCTGTGATTGTCTGTGTCGCTCAGTCCGTTTATCTCCGAAAGTGTTGTTGTTTATCATTATACATCACTAAATTGAATAGTGCATGATGAATGAGCTTCTGTCTTCTGTGTGGCAAAACATACCATTTTTTGAAAAGTCGAAATTTATATATAACTCTTCAAAGGAATGCAGATACAGCAGCTGGCAGCTCTATGCACCAAGACATCAAAAAGTATGGGTTTTGATACTGCAAGGGAGATAACTCAAAGTAGAAAAAAAGATTCTGCTCTGACCATGGAGATTCAATGCAATATTTAACGTTGGTAGATAAGTGAGAAGACAAAGGGTAAACTACTGGGTTAACACATCTATTTAATGTTACCGGCATGTAGACGTAGATTACACAATACTGTTACTGTTTCTAAAATAGAACTAGTTAAACGGTACTGAGTGTCATAAACAAATTTAATTAAGATTAAAATTCAATTTCAAATACAAGTAACAATTTCCTGAATGAAATACAGAATCACGACTGAACTATCAAAAGTGTCAGATTTTATTAATTAATGATCCGTTCAAATGAGATTTACAAACCTTGGTCCATGAGTCATAACAAAGGCAACTGTATATGTGACGTCATATATAAATGGAAGAAAATGACTCTTTTTAAATAATATTGTTTTCTCTTGGCTTTGAAATTTTGAAAAAGTGCATTTCCCCTTCGTTCCTTTCAGTGGAATAAACACGTACACGTGCCGGGGCATCGTGACGTACACGTGCCGGGGGATTATGATGTAGACGTGCCGGTGGATTGTGATGTAGACGTGCCGGTGGATTGTGATGTAGACGAGCCGGGGGATTGTGACGTACACGTGCCGGGGGATTGTGACGTACACGTGCCGGGCGATCGTGACGTAGACGTGCCGGGGGATTGTGATGTAGACGTGCCGGGGGATTGTGACGTACACGTGCCGGGGGATCGTGACGTAGACGTGCCGGGGGGTTGTGACTTAGACGTGCCGCGGGATTGTGATGTAGACGTGCCGGGGGATTGTGACGTAGACGTGCGGCGGGATTGTGACGTAGACGTGTCGGGGGATTGTGATGTAGACGTGCGGCGGGATTGTGACGTAGACGTGTCGGGGGATTGTGATGCAGACGTGCCGGGGGATTGTGACGTAGACGTGCCGGGGGATTGTGACGTATACGTGCCGCGGGATTGTGACGTACACGTGCCGGGGGATTATGATGTAGACGTGCCGGTGGATTGTGATGTAGACGTGCCGGTGGATTGTGATGTAGACATGCCGGGGGATTGTGACGTACACGTGGCGGGGGATTGTGACGTACACGTGCCGGGCGATCGTGACGTAGACGTGCCGGGGGATTGTGATGTAGACGTGCCGCGGGGATTGTGATGTAGACGTGCCGGGGGATTGTGACGTACACGTGCCGGGGGATCGTGACGTAGACGTGCCGGGGGGTTGTGACTTAGACGTGCCGCGGGATTGTGATGTAGACGTGCCGGGGGATTGTGACGTAGACGTGTCGGGGGATTGTGATGTAGACGTGCGGCGGGATTGTGACGTAGACGTGTCGGGGGAATGTGATGTAGACGTGCCGGGGGATTGTGACGTAGACGTGCCGGGGGATTGTGACGTATACGTGCCGCGGGATTGTGACGTACACGTGCCGGGGGATTGTGACGTACACGTGCCGGGGGATTGTGATGTAGACGTGCCGCGGGATTGTGATGTAGACGTGCCGCGTGGGGTTGTGACGTACACATGCCGGGGGATTGTGATGTAGACGTGCCGGGTGATTGTGATGTAGACGTGCCGGGGGATTGTGATGTAGACGTGGCGGGGGATTGTGAATCATCTTCTATACTGAAACCCAGTACGTTCTAGACTGTTTATCGACCAGTGATCCATTACATATTTATATATCTATTTCATTAGTACAACTATAAATATGACCGGGTATATGATTATATCTACCTATTTATTTTACAGGAAGTCGTCGCATTATAATCTGTAAGACAAATACGGCTGGGTAATGTGAACACACATCCCAGACGTTTATTTTATATCTATTGAAAGTGTATGTGTACAGGAAATTGATTAGTGTATATTAAGGTCCGGTGCATCCTGTAGTTCGTATCGATCACTGATATACCATCACAGGTTTAAATAAATAATGACAACATGTTCATGATGAGTCTATAACCTATATTCAGATATTCATATATAAACAATCAGAAAATGAAACACACAGATATTCAATACTAGCAATTACTTAATGAACCGACCTCAAATAATGACGTCACGAAACGGGTCACTGAAAAGCACCGGACTGATAGTGATCACTGCTTGTCTCGATTTTCATGTCATTTGCGATTTCTACCATAGAAACACAATTAAATATTAAATGAAAGACAACTCCCATTAAAACTACGTCATATTGATTATATGAGTTCTATTTGATTTAACAATGACTCCACCTACAGTACAGTGACCGCTAATTCAATTTCACTGAAAATGATACAGTTTAATGCGTTATTGTCCTATTTATTTGTGTACTGTATCCGTGTATCTAATTCTTAATGTGAGCCAGGGAAAGTATTAAATAGTTTTGTGACTTTTGTCAGTACATTTCATCGCGGCAAAATGTTAACACTTGTCAAACTTACACCACAGGGTTTCGGACTGGTCAGTTTCAGCCTGATATCCTGGCAATACATATGATCCCTAGATGTGTGTTATGTTTGAGAGAAGAAGGATAATGATTTTTTGGGATCATTTTGAAGATATGATATTTCCTTGTACGATCAGACGTTGTTCGATCGTTAGTTTGCTTAGCGGTTCCGGTGTTTTATACCGTGAGAATATGACCTTACTTGCTAAGATTGGCCAAGATTTACACGGCAGATGTCGGTGATGAAGCATAAGACGCTTACTCTTCCGGATCGCATGGTCTTATTCTCCTTGTACTTTAAAAAAAACAACTGTACCTATATTTATATGCTACAGAAGTAACCAGACATACTTTTCTATAACAAGTGTACCTATATTTATATATTACAGCTGTAACCAGACATACTTTTATATAACAAGTGTACCTATATTTATATATTACAGCTGTAACCAGACCTACTTTTCTATAACAAGTGTACCTATATTTATATATTACAGCTGTAACTAGACATACTTTTCTATAACAACTGTACCTATATTTATATGCTACAGAAGTAACCAGACATACTTTTCTATAACAAGTGTACCTATATTTATATATTACAGCTGTAACTAAACATACTTTTCTATAACAAGTGTACCTATATTTATATATTACAGCTGTAACCAGACATACTTTTCTATAACAAGTGTACCTATATTTATATATTACAGCTGTAACCAGACATACTTTTATATAACAAGTGTACCTATATTTATATATTACAGCTGTAACCAGACATACTTTTCTATAACAAGTGTACCTATATTTATATATTACAGCTGTAACCAGACATACTTTTATATAACAAGTGTACCTATATTTATATATTACAGCTGTAACTAAACATACTTTTCTATAACAAGTGTACCTATATTTATATATTACAGCTGTAACTAGACATATAACTTTATATATATTACAAGCTGTAACCAGACATACTTTTATATAACAAGTGTACCTATATTTATATATTACAGCTGTAACTAAACATACTTTTATATAACAAGTGTACCTATATTTATATATTACAGCTGTAACCAGACATACTTTTCTATAACAAGTGTACCTATATTTATATATTACAGCTGTAACTAAACATACTTTTATATAACAAGTGTACCTATATTTATATATTACAGCTGTAACCAGACATACTTTTATATAACAAGTGTACCTATATTTATATATTACAGCTGTAACGAAACATACTTTTATATAACAAGTGTACCTATATTTATATATTACAGCTGTAACTAAGACATACTTTTATATAACAAGTGTACCTATATTTATATATTACAGCTGTAACTAAACATACTTTTATATAACAAGTGTACCTATATTTATATATATATTACAGCTGTAACCAGACATACTTTTATATAACAAGTGTACCTATATTTATATATTACAGCTGTAACCAGACATACTTTTATATAACAAGTGTACCTATATTTATATATTACAGCTGTAACTAAACATACTTTTATATAACAAGTGTACCTATATTTATATATTACAGCTGTAACTAAACATACTTTTATATAACAAGTGTACCTATATTTATATATTACAGCTGTAACTTACTATATAACAAGTGTACCTATATTTATATATTACAGCTGTAACTAAACATACTTTTATATAACAAGTGTACCTATATTTATATATTACAGCTGTAACTAAACATACTTTTATATAACAAGTGTACCTATATTTATATATTATGTAACTAAACTGTAACTATATTACATACTTTTATATAACAAGTGTACCTATATTTATATATTACAGCTGTAACTAAACATACTTTTATATAACAAGTGTACCTATATTTATATATTACAGCTGTAACCAGACATACTTTTATATAACAAGTGTACCTATATTTATATATTACAGCTGTAACTAAACATACTTTTCTATAACAAGTGTACCTATATTTATATATTACAGCTGTAACTAAACATACTTTTATATAACAAGTGTACCTATATTTATATATTACAGCTGTAACTAAACATACTTTTATATAACAAGTGTACCTATATTTATATATTACAGCTGTAACCAAACATACTTTTATATAACAAGTACTTATATTATATAATAACAAGTGTACCTATATTTATATATTACAGCTGTAACCAGACATACTTTTATATAACAAGTGTACCTATATTTATATATTACAGCTGTAACTAGACATACTTTTATATAACAAGTGTACCTATATTTATATATTACAGCTGTAACCAACATACTTTTATATAACAAGTGTACCTATATTTATATATTACAGCTGTAACAAGTGTACCTATATTTATATATTACAGCTGTATACTTTTATATAACAAGTGTACCTATATTTATATATTACAGCTGTAACCAGACATACTTTTATATAACAAGTGTACCTATATTTATATATTACAGCTGTAACCAGACATACTTTTATATACAAGTGTACCTATATTTATATATTACAGCTGTAACCAGACATACTTTTATATAACAAGTGTACCTATATTTATATATTACAGCTGTAACTAAACATACTTTTATATAACAAGTGTACCTATATTCATATATTAAAGCTGTAACCAGACATACTTTTATATAACAAGTGTACCTATATTTATATATTACAGCTGTAACCAGAACATACTTTTATATAACAAGTGTACCTATATTTATATATTACAGCTGTAACCAGACATACTTTTATATAACAAGTGTACCTATATTTATATATTACAGCTGTAACCAGTGTACCTATATTTATATATTATATAATATTTATATATTACAGCTGTAACTAGACATACTTTTCTATAACAAGTGTACCTATATTTATATATTACAGCTGTAACTAAACATACTTTTATATAACAAGTGTACCTATATTTATATATTACAGCTGTAACTAAACATACTTTTATATATATTAAGTGTACCTATATTTATATATTACAGCTGTAACAGCTGTAACCAGACATACTTTTCTATAACAAGTGTACATACTTTTATATAACAAGTGTACCTATATTTATATATTACAGCTGTAACCAGACGTACTTTTCTATAACAAGTATACCTATATTTATATATTACAGATGTAACCAGACATACTTTTCTATAACAAGTGTACCTATATTTATATATTACAGCTGTAACTAAACATACTTTTCTATAACAAGTGTACCTATATTTATATATTACAGCTGTAACCAGACGTACTTTTCTATAACAAGTGTACCTATATTTATATATTACAGCTGTAACCAGACGTACTTTTCTATAACAAGTGTACCTATATTTATATATTACAGCTGTAACCAGACATACTTTTCTATAACAAGTGTACCTATATTTATATATTACAGCTGTAACTAAACATACTTTTATATAACAAGTGTACCTATATTTATATATTACAGCTGTAACCAGACGTACTTTTCTATAACAAGTGTACCTATATTTATATATTACAGCTGTAACCAGACATACTTTTCTATAACAAGTGTACCTATCTTTATATATTACAGCTGTAACTAAACATACTTTTCTATATATATAACAAGTGTACCTATATTTATATATTACAGCTGTAACCAGACATACTTTTCTATAACAAGTGTACCTATATTTATATATTACAGCTGTAACAGTGTACATA